TTTCTCAAGATCTTAAAATCACGATATATGTCACTTGGGACTGTTCCATGCTGCTCTTTGATGTGATTCCCGATTGAAGACGATCCTTTGTGTTCCTCGACGCATTGATAGAGGTGTCGGCATGTGTACCCGACGTAGTTTGCATCACACAAACCACACTTGTAGTAGTAAACAACGCGTTGCTGGTTAATGATAGGCGGCCTCTTTTCTTTTGGTTTGACCTCCTGTCCAATCTTGCGGCTTGTGTATACGGGAAGAATATCTATTCCAATTTTTCGGCCTAGTTCCCCAAGCTACCTTCGTGTGGAATTAGCCGATCTCTGATCCTTGAAAGGTAACACTATTCTGACAGGGGCTTCATTCACGTTACATGCTCGAGTAGAAATTGGATCGCCAGAAACTTTCTTGGTGACAAAATTACTGATGGTCGATTGTATCAATTGCGCTGGGTACTGAAGTCAGGAGAACGTCTGTGAGATGATCACATTCCAGGTGGAACAGTTGCCAGGTAGATGATAGTTTAAAGGCACGATCCAGCATTGTTTTTAGCAATGAATCCTTGTATCTAACATCGATGTGTCTCTTGTAATGTAGTAATAATCCGGTGTCAGTTGGTTTTCTGTACACCCTTGTCTCCAGGCGACCATTGCATTTCCTGATGTCCGTTCCCAGGAAAGGAAGTTTACCGTGTTTGCCAAGTTCCATGGTGAAGCAGACAGATGGATGACTCTCATTTAGAGAGGAAAGGAATGCTTCAGCTGTTTCGGTGTCAGGCATTATGCTCAATGTGTCATCCACATAGCGTTTGTAGAACTCGGGTAACTTGCCTGAGTCCTGAAGTCGATCTTCGATACTGCACATAAATACATTGGCCATTAGGGGTCCAAGTGATGAACCCATGGCAACACCATCGGTTTGTTCATCAAACTCCCCTCAAACTGAAAAAGCTGGTTCTTGTGTGGCAATATTTAGCAACTCTACCAAGTCTGATTTTGTAATGTTGATATTATGCTGTTTATTGAACCAGTCGTCCTTAAATGCCTTTTCAGCTAGAATTTGTATCGTCTCATCAACAGGGACATTGGTAAAGAGCGAAGTTACGTCACATGAAACAAGGACACTGTGATCGTCAACTTCCATGTCATGGAGAGAATCCACGAAATTAAAAACATCACTGATGGTGTGGTCATTGACTGATAAAGGTTTGAGCTTTTTGTCAAGCCATTTTGCCAACTTGTAATTATATGTCCTGGTTGCCAAGAGTATTGGCCGCATTGCTAGTTGTCACTTGTGGGTTTTTGGCAAGCCATAAAGATGGGCTAGTCTCGAGCCATTCTGGACAACTGTGCCAGCAACTGCCTTGGGCAATATTCTTTCTATAGTGGCAGTTAACTCCTTTTCCTTCTGCAATAGCTGGTGGAAATGCTTGGGAAGTCTTCCTCTCATTTTGGGTCTTTCAGCACACACTGGTATAAACTTGGTTTCTTTGTTTATTGATGACTCTTTCAGTAGGCGCACATAATCTGACTTGTCCATCACAAGCACACCTGATCCCTTATCTGGCTTCGTAATAATAATGTCATTCTTCTTTTTCAATTGGCCAATTGCTCTTAGCATTGCTCTTGGTGGTGCAAGGGTCTTTCGTTCGATGTAATTCAAAGCAATTGCACGTAATGATGCAGCCGCCAATTCTTTGTTTTCTTTGCTCAACCCCAGTTCTAATTTCCAGAAAGCCTTTTCAAAAGCAGCTTCAATTTCCTTGGATGACACTCACTGTGGAAGAGCAAAGTCAAGACCGCGACTTAGTGCCAGTTTTTGGAAGAAGGAAAGCTTGTAGGATGAAATGTTCTTGATATGTTCATCGATATCAGCATCATGTTTGTTCAGGAGCCTCAAAATCTTCTTGGGTGGCCATTCATCGATTGTCGGTACTGTTCATTACGTAGAGTGATGATCGTTTTTAGGATGCAAAGGAAATGAAGTGATGGACAGTTCACTCTGATCTTGTTGTAAACGTCTTGAGTTTCAAGCCTAAGCTCTGCTAATTGCTTCCTCTTCAGGCATAGCTCTTCGATAACGATGCTTCCTTCAAAGGAGTTAGCAGATCGCCTCCATTTGTTCACTTTAGTCTGATCAACCCTAGCAAAGGTTGGTGTCAAATTAAAATTCTGACAGAGTTTAAGAAATTGAATGGCAGTCTCACAGTTAACTTGTTTCTCTCTACACTGCTCAAGCCTTCTGAACAGGTGAAGCTGGTTGTCACGCTTTAAAATTCTTATCAGTAGTTTTTTTACAAAACATTTCAGAATAAAAACTAGTGGTAAAAAATGACATTTCGATCTCTCTGAGATCATTTTCAAGTTGAGAAGAAAACGAATGAAATATACATATGTCTGGATTTATGAAAACCGTGCTAATTTCAACACAACCACCCTGACACTTTTCCAAGAAAATACCCAGGCTTTTTCACTCGATCAACCACAGGCACTCTGTCAACACACAGCCTACTCACCCACCTTGCTTGTGTCTGGCTGGCTGGCTGCCAGCCCCTAAGAC